TATATATATAGAGAGAGAGAGAGAGAGAGAGAGGGAGAGAGAGACGAATGATCATTTGAGAACTTATAGTTTCCCGAGAACCCGATAACTAAAAGTGGAACGTTATATTGAAATTTTAAATGGCTTGCATTGATGATGGCATAATTGTAATTATCACTTGTTTCAATGATATCTTAGACATTTTCCAAATAAACATAGGGGCATATTGGGAATTAAAAATATATAAACAATCCTTCTCACTTTTTTTCACAAATATATGTTTTGTTTCTCTCTCTTTCTCTCTCATCTTGCATATTCTTCACAGTTGCCTCCTTTCTCCATCGTCTCCATCTGAATCATCTCTCTACACGATCTTTCTTTGCCACTAATTACCACCATAATCATCGACATGCTGATTCACTGTCTAACCGATCCTCCGCCTTATTTTCCCCCTCTGAGATGTTGAAGTTTGAACTCTGATTCGCCTTTCTGAAGTCAGATATGAGTTTACAGATCTGTACTCATCGTTCTCTTCTAGTGTTTGTTGAAGTCGAGGTGTTACATCTCCGATCTGCCGCTTTAATCTTTCGAACGAGCTAGGATTTCGTCGAGTGAAAAATGTCGGGCAAAGGAGTAAAATGTTTGATTATAGGCAATAATGTCGCACTCAACAATGATAAAGACAAGGATAAGAAGAAACCTACCTCTCGATCTTCTTGCACCGATCTCCAGGTGTGTGTTTCTATCTATAATATGTTTGATTTTGAATGTAATGTTATGTTTTATGTGTTTATATCAACTTTTTCTTCATAAACGATCACACCTCCCAGATTTGTTTCACGTTCTCTTGCTGTCATCGACGATCAATTTCAGCTATCTCTGACGATCAAATCGCATCTTCGGTTCATCTCTCGTTCGATGTTTCTCAAATGTTATCATGTGTTTTCGACACATTTTTTTTAATATCTGATCGATTTTTTGATGATTTCAGTCAGTTTTGTTGTTGATTTTTTTATATGCAATCGTTTTGTTGATTTATAAATATGTTTCTTTGATCGATTTAGAATTTGTCTTTTTGATGTTCTAAAACTCAAGGGATTTACTACTTGGTAGCTTGTTTGTTCCAATGGAAAAAAAAAATTAAATTCCAAATGTGTTTATTATTGCATGAACAAATACATACACTTGATTTCAATGGTTACTTTGAGATGATGATAATTGGTACTAATAGTCTGATTCAGTTTTTGTTTATCATTGGTTGAGTATCTATCAAACAATTTATTGTGTTAGTAGCCATATGTAATTCTCTATAAAATGGCAATAGAATCATAATGGTTTTTTAATGTTTTTTTTTAAAATACAAACATAACAAAGAGTGTTAGCTAAAACGATCGTTTTATTTGCATTCAGATTTTGGTCGGTCATTAGTGTTTTTGAGAATCAGATGATCAAATCTTAATAATTTGTTTGCTCTAATAGCTTGTTCTCAGTGTTTAAAGAATGTAGTTGCTTTTGTTGGTCATTATAATGCTATTGATATTTGATTTATTATTAAATTTTCTTCCTTTCTACTATTTTATATGTTTTTTTTCATAATTATTGTTCTTGAATCACATGTAATTCCTCTATAGTAACCTAGAGAGTTGGTGACATTACATTGTTCGATCGATAAAAATCATATGTAATTTACATATGAATCACATGTAAATCACAAGTGAATCACATATGAATTAAATGTGATTCACATGTAACTTATATATAATTACATATGAATCACATGTAGTTCACATGTAAATCACAAGTGAATTACATATAAATTATATGTGATTCGTTTGTAAATGAGAAGTGAAACACATATGAATTACATGTGAAAAGTGATAGATTAAAAAAATAAGGAAATCTTGACACGAAAACATGAACACGCTTTGAAGTTTTGTTGTGTTTTTTGTTTATTATATTTTATTTTGTATCGAATAAAATATTTGTACTATTGTGTTTACAGATTAATAAATTAAAATAAAGTTTTTTATTATTTACTTACGAGTATTATAGTTTAAGAAATATCATATATTGTGACAACCGTCAAAATTGAGTCAAGTCAAAGTCAAACAAAGTCAACAAGTCAAAACCAATCGAC